TTCTTCCGTGACCAACTTCCGCATAACTTTTCATTCTGATTGAGTTTGAGTGATATCCGGAAATAATATGAGTACATTGCACTAGGATTTCATGTTTGGAAATTTAAACGATAAAGTCAATAGGAAAAAAAGGAGGCAAAAAATAAGAGTGTGCTTGATCATGCCAAAAATATTGGCCAGGTTATAAAGAGTCCAGGTTTTGAGAGACTTTTTTTGGAAACCGAAAATGTGAAACACCGATTTGTAGTTCCTCTGAAATATTATTTTGAATGATCAATGCATCTTTACTGTTCTGAATCACAGCAGGGAACTTGATGTTTTATACTTGCGAAAAACTGCGGTCAGAAAACAGTCCAACCTAACAGTCGAACCTAAATAAAAAAAGCCCATAAATGTGACTTCGTAGTGTATTATCCATATCGACAAGAATCCAAATGATTTTTGTTCAAGAAGTAAAGAAACCAGTAAGTATTTGGACAATTTGTTTTTGAGAGTGCACAATGGAAGTAGTAGCGGAAATATTGCCAGACAGGAATTCCTCATTTTTATTGCCTTGAAATTTGAACTCGCAAAACCGTGGTCTGCATCCGCACCAACTGTTTACATTATAAGAGCTGAAATAAAATAGCTCGATAATTTACAAAAGTGTTTGAAATTAACTCTTTCAGACGGGCTTAGTGAATGTTATGCACAAACAAAGTCCGTCTGAACAAGTTAATTTCAAACACATTTGTAAATTATCGCAATACTTTATCAACTCCAAAGTGGTCGTTGGGAAAAGGCACAACTTCTGGATCGGAATTAGCGCGCTGGTTTTGCTGTTAGCAGACGTGTATCAGAGTCATAGTGAAATGAAAAAGAACAATTTGTTCATAAAAATCTTGGGGTTTTTTTTCAGTCCTCAAGCTACCACATTTTCACAAGCACACAAAGACGGGAAAATATCAAGCCTACCACCGCGCTCGCTGTTTGGAGAATCATTGAATCAGCAACATTCAACAAAATCTGAATCCCGCATTGATTCAAACACATTGTGCAAAAACAACACATTTCTTCAGAGGAAAAATGATTGTTTCAAACACTCACCGAGCAAAATCTTGTTCTTGCAGTCAGTTCTCTCTCTGGTTGTCGTCCGAAGGTGACCTGTGGTTGATGTGAAGGGTGGACGGCCCCACATGTCTTAAATAGTGCCATCGATTTCCTGAGCAGTGACTAAAAACTCGGACCTGGATTGTGATTGCATGGCTCCTGTGCGCTGTCAATCACACATCACCGACTCGCTTCATATTAATGATATGAAAGCAATGTTAATGTCGTTGAGGCTATATAGTCACCATAAAAACTAGTCACCGAGATTGAAATGGCCGCTTCTTATTGGTGGATATTGTATGGATGTCGGTGACACATCCAAATATGGAATTTATGATTGACACACACAATCTGTCAGTCACAGACCACTCACTTGTGGTCACCGACTTGTCGTCACCAACTTGTCACCGACAAACTGTGATTGGTGGATAGACAAGTGACGTATACACCGGCCGTGATTCATTCAATGTACAGTTGGCGCTTCAGTCTATTAAATTGTGTGGATATATTCGGGATTATGAGGAATTAAATCGTACTCAAGCCAGCGGAGAAACTTGGGTTTAACTTGGGGTAGGGCACCTGAGGTGCGTGTTTTTTTTTCAAAGGCTGCACTAAATGCAAAATAAACGTATTATTACAGCTTACAGTGAATGTTTTAATTCAGGTTTTCAAAATGGGGCGGGGGAGGGCTGGGGCCGGCTTCCACAGGGGGTGGGGTAAATGCCCCGTGTCCCCGTAGTTTTGCCCCTGAGGTAGGCTTTGCTCATTGATTGGGACTTTGAGGAAATAAAATACAGTTGAATAAACTTCCATGAACTTTACGCATCATATACGGCCCGTGTATAATCGTGGCCTTCTAAATGTGGAAAAGGTTTTTACACTTGAATATCTCCCAGTTCGAATAATCATTTCCAGAAATGTTAGAATGTATGACCGGTGATGATGGACCTAAAAAGCAAACGTTCACTACCTAAAGTAATGACACAGTTCCAATAAAGCATGTTAAGTGATTTAAACGAGAAAGGCTTGTATGGAACGACCAGACTTCCTACATTTGCTAGTTTGTGGCCTCCGCATAAAGCGCACGATTCACCCTGAACTAGCCCTGGTGATATCCGGACAAATCATACCAGAGTTTGCCATTCTGTATTGCGAACCACCTCGATTTATAATAATCTCTGAAGCAATGACGTAGCGACGATGGGGGTGGGGTGGGATAGTTGAACGATCACAGCCCCCCCCCTTCCCCCTCCCCTCCCCCATACCAGTGGGACCATACCATACAAGTAAATGACAAAGCCACTTGTCTGATTAGGGGCCTTACATGGCCTTGTTCCGAAGCCGGGCACGAAGCCTATGTTTACAAAACGACCGAAAGTCATCGAGGTCATGAGACATACCGGCGTTTCTCAAACTCCGGCTTCGTTCCGTAAACCGGTTTCGGGCATGCGGCTTGGCAATAGAGCTGGATCCGGTATTGGAATGAAGCTAGGATTTGGAAAACCTCGCTTGTAGCTCACTCGACGTGTGTCAAGTCGCCGTTCAAAACGCCTCGCTGTTTCGTCCCTCGGTTAACTGCCGGCGCTTGTCAGGATGACCTTGTGGAAAGGCTACAGTTAGGCCTCTTGACCAGCAGAGGCAATCTCTTGTTCATATTTGCGGAGCCACCAACTTGGAAAGTTTGAAAAGCTGGGGTGGAGGGGGTTGGGCTTAGACGCTACCTGTCTATTGAGGGCACTGTTCCAAAATGCATGTATACATACCCGCGTACTATAGCTATAGTGGTAGATAGTGGTAATGACTTGAAATAAAAGACATTCTTATTAAAAATAACACTCAAAATATTTTTGATTTTATTTCTAGAAGATAACATGCTTTATACTTGGTGCACATAATCATGGTCTCAAGACGTATCTGCGTCGTTTGGAATGCATTGCGTAACCAATGTGTCTATGTCGTTCAGAAAATTGCACAACGAACAATGTCCAGCTTTCGTTTCAGGTAGATTGCGAAATCAGAAATCGTTGCTTTTCGTTTGATAAAACTGCGCAAGAAAAGAAGGGGAAACAAAATAATTCCTTACCATATAAGGTTATATGTGGTTGATATTTAAAGGGAATATACATCATTTGCTTTTGCTGTAATTTTCAGAAATGGATGGAATTGGCTGGTCGGAAATATATAGCAAATATAGTTACACTGACTTTTTTGAGGTTTTGGGTTCGAAAATGCTATAAAAACCAAGAAAAACAATCATTTTCCTGTAGTCTGGTTCCCTGACTCCATTTAAGAAGAAACAGAGCAGTTTACATATATTGGGGAATTGTAAGATCAGGGAACCAGTCTAGCTGGCTTGTACCCGTTCATAGGTGTGTAATCGATTGCAAACAAGTGCGATGGTCAACTGGGGCCAGTATTTGAAAAAAAGCCAGTTTTTTCCAACGCTGATCGGCCGATTAGCGTTGGAAATTGATACAAAAATACCACTTTTCTTGAAAATGACAGTATACCAGGTGCCATGATTTTACAGGATGCTTTACACTGTCATTCACTAACAGTCCAGCAAGGTATTTCAAAATGATTTGGTAGTTTTATATTTTGATATTTGCAAATGTTGTATTTTCCCTTTAAAAAACAAAATGGGTCGATGAATGTTGATCGAAGCTTCTCCTACTTTCCAAGGAATGTTTGCATAATTGTTTTGGAGAAAAGTTTTTGTTGTTTGCCAAATTGAATTAAAAATATGAGGCTAAGGCCAAAAAAAAAAGTCTCCGGTTTCTGGTATGCGCGCGTCGCCGTAGCCATGCGCGTCGGCAAAATGAAAAAAGTTTTTTTTTTTTTTATGAAACATGATGTCTCAAAACCGCCAAACTCACTGGTTTGACTTGAATCCTGCTGCTGCACAATTTTAACGTGTTTTTAGATTGGGTTATGGTCGAGAATAAGCTTTATGTGGCCTCTCTGGACTCCCATATATTTGCACTAAGTTTACTCGGGCACCATTTGCAGTCATCAGCCGACATTTGAACCAAAAAAATCAGGTAAAAAAAAAAAAAAGCCGCGCCGCCGCACCACTTTTTGGGCAAGCTCCATACCAGAAACCGGAGACTTTTTTTTGGCCTAACCTCTTGTATTTTTTTATTGAGGAAAAAACAAAAAATCTAAATTGCCTCAAAGTTGTTGGAAAACTTGCAAAGGGATCCCGGAATACATTCTAAGTTAATGCAACAGATATTTCTTCAGTCATCTTGTGGAAACCGAGTGTGAAGGTTGACTCAAAATTGCCCGTTATTTTTTGCGTTAAACACACCTACATTTTGTGGATGGAAATTTGTGTCCTGGACGAAAAGATAATCTCGATCAAAATCTGTAGCAAAATTACGGAAGCCGGATAGTGCCAGTCCCTAAGGGATGAATATATTTTTTGCAAACACGTCAGAATTTTTTTGTACATCGCCGCCACTTAATATGCGGCGGCCGCAACTTAATATGTGGCGGCCGCAATTTATTATGTGGCGGCCGCAACTTATTATGTCGCGGCCGCAACTTATTATGTGGCGGCCGCAACTTATTATGTCGCGGCCGCAACTTATTATGTGGCGGCCGCAACTTATTATGTCGCGGCCGCAACTTATTATGTGGCGGCCGCAACTTAATATGTGGCGGCCGCAACTTAATAACTGGCGGCCGCAACTTATATGTGGCGGCCGCAACTTAATATGTGGCGGCCGCAACTTATTATGTGGCGGCCGCAACTTATTATGTGGCGGCCGCAACTTATTATGTCGCGGCCGCAACTTATTATGTGGCGGCCGCAACTTATTATGTGGCGGCCGCAACTTATTATGTCGCGGCCCGCAACTTATTATGTCGCGGCCCGCAACTTATTATGTGGCGGCCGCAACTTAATATCTCGTGTTCACCACGTGGTCTCGACAGCCAGCGGGGACCGGGCGTGCACGGTCTTGTCTGTCAGTCCGATCGATCGTATTGATGCTACCACTTGTATGTAAAGGCGACACTGGGGACGCGTACATTTGCACTTGGTAGCAAGCCTCGTCAGGTGAGATCAAGCCCATACTGTATGTTACTAACATTAACATCTTAAATTCGTTTTGTACCAGGCATTTTGGATGTGCCTTGTAAATGTACGTGTCATCAGTCAATTGAGGCACTTGGCCTAGGTAGCTGTAGGCCTTCATTGCACATTGTTTTGCTCTTGTAATTATTGACAGCTAGGTTTCCTTTTTCTTTACCAAGTTTAAGTTGTAAACCTCTTTCGGCTTCCGGCCCTTATTTTGATTTTCATGACCTGAAATTTGTATCCTAGTGGATACCCGGGTATAATATGGAACAAAAGATTGTAAAGGTCGACACAAGGAAATTTCTAAAGGTGACTAGGTATCCAACAGGATTTCACGAAATAGATTATTTTGATTTTACTCACAAACTAGGAATTTCAAGTGTGTTGATCCGTCGCAAATTGAAGTATTTTATATATGAAAGGGACATTGGGTCGAAGTTTCAACCCAGGAGAGTGATTCTGGTTAGAACAGGAGCATTTTGAAATTCGATTTCCACACTATTTTCTATTTGTACACGAGAACAAACAAAGCAATGTCTCCACAAGGATACAAATTTGAGAATGCGAGTTTGCAAAATTAATTTTGTTTGCACATTTCAGCATGTCTGAGCGGCTGTGGGGTGTACTTAAAGCCCGAGGTGTGCAGCGTGACACATTGGAAAAAATGCAGAACGAAAAGGTAAGGGTGCTCAGCAGAATTCCTGGAGGGACCTAATCCAATTATCCAAGCGGTATAGATTTTACTTTAATACCTCTTAATACCTCCACCTTATTTCCTTATAACAAAATTGAAATTCTAATGAGAAATCATGATATCAACGTGGAAAATATGTTACGTTTCTTAGGAAAACCTTTTTAGACGATATCCATAGGGTTTTTGTATATGGTCCTAAAAATGTGTGTGTGTGTGTGGGGGGGGGGGGGGGCATTAATTTCATTCAAATATACAGGGTGTCCCAAAATAAATGGTGCAAGTGCCAGTAGTTCACACATGGGTGATTTCTTCTCATGTGTGAACTACTGGCAGCGTTTGGGCTTAGAAGCATTCATACTCTAAAAGTGGCACAAACTTGATTTTAGGTGTTTGTGGTTAATCAAACATATCTCTACATGAACTAAAGCAAATACGATGAAAGAAGCGGCATTTCGAAGCTAATGAAGTAATCATGAAGATGATATAAACATCTGTAGCAAATATTGAATGGTTATTGGGTAACGTGGCGCGTTTCACTTGCACCATTTGTTTTGGACACCCTGTATGTTGTTTAATTGAGTCTTGATAAAAAAAAAGACGTTTCTTTTCCTCAACGGTGGCTCTTGAGAATTTTCTTAAAGCTGTCCTGACCGTTCTTCTTAATTCGTAAAGTGATCGGGTACGACCCGGTCGCAATTTTGAATGCCAATTCATATTAATTGTTGTCTAGGTTAAGGTCAAAGTTGGTCACCTATACTGTTTATGGTTGAAGTGAATTTCCACACATAAAAGTGTGACATTTTACATTTGGAATAACATGAAAGGATATTATATACCTGGCAGTTAAGACCGCCCAATCAGAAAAGCAAACCACCAGAGACCCTTTGCGCAAACTTTGACTATGACCTGACCTCAATTTAGTCCACCAAAACTGACACCCAACTGCTGTCGATTATTTTGGACCCACAGCACACAATTTGTGCTTGAATTCCGCATGTCACATTTTTTTTCTTAAGTCACGGGACTAAGTCTTCCTTGTCAGTCCTTCTAGTCGGAGTATATCAATGCCTAGAAAAGATTCTTGTTTTTACTTTTTGTTTGTTTGTTTGTTTGTATGTTTCAGATTGACGAGGATGTCATTATTGAAATGACGGATGAAGAACTCAGCGAGTACATTCCTCGTAAGGGTGACCGAGTTGTCGTTAAGGCTTTCGTCCGGAAGGAGAACAGTGAAACTCAAACTCAGAAGAGGAAGTTTACACTGCTCGAGAGCTTGAGGTCCCGAATGGCAGGAAAGTCAGGGAAAAAAACAGCCAGACTTGTAAGTGACAGCGAGGAAGAATATGAGAGTTCTGCCCCCGGGCCAAGTGACGGCGGTCAGTCAAACAGCACGCAGAAATCAGCAGAAACAAAGAGGGGCCCGAGAGGCAAGAAAGCGAAAGAGGCATCAAGAAGTTCAAGGTCCCTAATAGTCGGGTTCTCTGTTTACGAGGCTACAGAGTCCAGGTACAAGCAGGTACGCGCCCCATGGGTGGGGGGATACGTCACATTACTGTCGACACAAATACACCCAAAAGAAAATTGCTACATACCCTTTGCCCCTTGTTTTTTCCAGATGGAAAAAACTGTCATGGTTCGCTCGGGGACTTCCAGTTAGATGTCTCCACAGATGTGCATGGTAGCCAACCCGTTCACGAGAACGAGACTATTCAACATTTGATCGACAGACTTGGTCTAAAACACGTACGATGCTATCTCCTGGCCAAATCAGTAGACCTGGATGAAGATAAGTCAGCAAGTGACCCTGCAGAAGACAGCCTGGAAGATCTACCTGATATGTTTGCTCACAGACGTCGGAGAGGAGAGGAAAACCTCATGCCAACAGCCATTGATTCGAGCCAAGAGGAGGTACCGAGCACAAGTGACGGCCACCACATTTCTCATGGGCAACCTAACTCGGAGCGATACCGTCCGTTGAATCAAGGTGATGAGATGACAGTTGACAATGAAGTCATCGTGCAGACTGCTGATGACTCATCGCCCTCCAACAACCCACTGTTGTCCGAAGCTGCTGAAGACCGCGTTGAATTAGATGTCTAGTCAGTATTTTGCTGCAACGTTGGACTCGGCGTATGCTGTGAATCTCACTCCACCAACCTATAACATTCCTGACGAATTCATTCAAGAGGACCAACTGGCTCGATTAAACGACGACGACTCCGGTATCATTCAGTTTGGCCCCTTCCCAGATTGCAACACAGCCATTGGTAAAAGAAATAAAAGTGCACCGTGGCAACGTTTGTCAAGAAATGGTAACATTTTTCTCGAAAGAGGAGAACGTCAACCTGAGAGGAACAACCTTCGAAGTGAAGATGCTGAAGTCAGATGGAAGCACAGAGATGGCTGAAGACAACGGAGGAGTCTTGAGGGATGCACTTACTGAGTTTTTCGACAGCTTTTATTTGCAGTACACAATCGGCAACTCGATAGCCGTACCGGTATTACGCCATGACATGACCAAGGTCCATTGGTCGGCAGTGGGAGAAGTAATCCGCTTAGCATTCAGACAGGAGGGAATTTTGCCGGTCAGGCTTGCTCTGCCTTTCATGCAACTGGCATTTTTTGGGACACCCGATGACCCACTAGACGCGTTCATGCAGTTGCTCCCGGATGTCGACTGATTGCTGCTTGAAGATGCAATGAGGAGTGTTTCATCTGTCGATGCAGATGACTTGATGGATTTCATGGAACGACACGATGCCAGACGAAACCTTACAGACGAGAACATCGAGAAATCACTTACCGAGATGGCAAATAAGGAGATGCTTCAAGTACCACTATTTGTGGCGCTGTGTTGGCGACCAAAGCTGAAATCTCTCGGCCTCTCACGACTCCAGCTCCGTCAGATTTATGACAACCTGAAGCCATCAACGAGGAAGGTATTGAACATATTGGAATTTCCCAAACCAATGAACGCAGAAGAAGGCGCCTTGAGTTCCTCACTTAAGAGACTGGTGAGGGAGATGGATCAGAATCTGCTCGGCCTGTTCTTGCGATTTTGCACAGGGTCCGACCTCGCGGTCAGAGAGAAGATCACCACCAGGTTCACCGACTCAGAGATTCGCTGCCCCACAGCACACACATGTGGGTGTGTTCTGAACATTCCGCGCTCGGATGCGGCACTGCCTTATATCACATTGAAGTCAGAATTCACCACCCTCATTCGCAACAGATACTGGCAAATGGACATCATCTAAAAGCCGTGTCACCCTTCTTCTATTTCATTAACAGACAACCTATATCAATCCCCATACATGCACTCTTGTTTCACTGCAGTAGTAGTTAATTAGGTGATTTGGAAGTGTGCTTTATGTTATACATGATTTGTATACTGTATTATGTACGTGCTTGAAACGAAAAGTCATTTTGTTCTTTTTGTATCATCATGAGGAGAAGTAACCTTCAGTATAACCTTCAGTAACAGTTGCATTGCCATAATTTTTGTTCATGATCTATTATGATGAGAAGTATCCATCAGTAACAGTTGTATTTTTTCATTTGCGCTGCCATTTTGTTCATGATGTATTATGAGGAGATGTATCCTGCAGTAACAGTTGTATTTTTTTCATTTGCGCTGCCATTTTGGTTGAGGAGAAGTAACCTTCAGTATAACCTTCAGTCAGAGTTGTATTGCCATAATTTTGGTTCTTTTTTAAGTAGGCCTATCCTTCAGTAACAGTTATATTTTTCATTTGCATTGCCATTTTGTTCTTTTATGTTTTAAGAGAAATATCCTTCAGTAACAGTTGTATTTTTCATTTGCATTGCCATTTTGTTCTTTTATGTTTTAAGAGAAATATCCTTCAGTAACAGTTGTGTTTTTCAATTGCGTTGCCATTTTGTTCTTTATGTGTTTTAACGAGGACAAGTATTCTTCATAAACAGTGACATTTCCCATTTGTATTGTAGTGAAATAACCTTTTTAAATCCCAAATTCTGTTCATGGGATATACATTCTTTTATGTGGTGTTCTGTAGTTGTAGTATTTTGAAATGATTTTTTTGTTACTGTATAAGATTCGCTAATCCCAAAGGCTGGCACTACTGTTATAATTTTTTTTCCTTTTTTCTCCATCCCACAAAACATATTTTGTTGATATTGCTTCTTTCCTACGATGCAAAGGTTTCCTTTGAATGATGTGTCCCTCATAAATAAGTTCATACGAGATTTAGTTGTAGATTTTACATACGTCACAAAATCCTAATTATAAAGCACTTTAATTTGGCGATGCATATTCCGCGTCCTGTACAAATTGTGCAAAGGTAACTCGCCCAAAATGTAAATTAGTTCCGTTGAAATACAAATTCAACAGGAAAAGCAAATCGTACCTTTTCGATTTTCCAAAGACGTTTTGCTCACACATTTAGATTATATTTGTCCCAAATTTCATTGCATAATTATATTGGTGACTGAGGTGTTACATTTGCAGGCAGTTGCTCGTGTTAGATATTGTTGAAGTTTTGATATAGCGTTTTGGTTTTGCTCGTTGAAATTATAAAAAAAGTGAAGTGTTTATTTAATCGTTTTTAATTAAAAAGTGACGTGGATTGTAATAAAAGTAGTTTTTGCCAGGCAATTAAACTGGAATCACAGAAAATTTCCGTTAGAAATGTTGGTTTAACTCTGTATATTCATTTGTGGTTAGTTTGAACATTCTTTGAACAATGCAGTTTTCCAAAAGTGCTGCAATCAAATATATAAAAAAAAAAAACCCTGGAAATAGACTTATACATAAACAAAACTAAGAAATAGGTAAGAATGTAATTAGTAGTGTAATCTACATAGATTTGTCTGTACGTCATTCATGGCATTCGAGTCTATGTTCTAAGAATGGGTCCAGGGGTGCAGACATGGTGTACTTCGCCTTATTTGCTGGGGTTGCTCAGCAGAAGGTCCCTCACCCCCACCAACACACATGAAACCTGTTGCTTGATATTTTAATAACGTCTGGCTGGGCTGAGTGGGATATCGGCTATTTTTTTTTTGACGTTGGCTGTTTATCCTTGACGTTGGCTGTTTATCCTACTCAATTACTTCAATAATTCCATGTACTTGATTTCAGAAAACTGACAACTTAGTACACCAATTTCAACTTTAAGAGGTTCATTAATGGCCTTTTTATAATTGATGTCTACTTCGTGACATGTGCTTCTTTTTTACAAATTGGAGTTTTCATATAACATCAATAATTCATCTCATTACTGATCCACAAGTCGTTTCTGGGCAGCACGTATCACCGACACTGACAGTATTGTGAGAAACTATATAGGTCTATATAGTACTGTTCCAGATCCTGTCGAATGGCATCACGCAGCGCGTGGTAAAGCTGCAGTGCCTGCTCTACATTGCCAGGATGTTCCAAAGAATGTTCAGTCATGTAAATAATGAAGAGTTCAAATAACTTCTCGTCACACGGAAGGCCATCCCTGAAGGTACACTCGGTGCAGCAGGCTTCGATATGTTTTCCTGTCAACTGGCTTCAAGTAGTCACGTCGGCCAAACAATTCTGGCATGGAGAAGAGAACTACAGGTCTTCCGTTGGGAACGTTCTGATTCTTTGAACGTCGTATGCGATGGCAGTTCCAGACAGACGACATCCTATCAAGATCATTCTATTACACAAAAATGACAAATAAGAAATTTAGGCTATATCACATCTTTTACTCACATTCGGTATGTTCGAGCATCATAACTTTTGATTGAATTATACATTAGAATTATAATTATAAAGTAGTCAAAATTGCAGCAGCCATACACATACTTAAGACTTTCACAATGACAATCAATAATTTTGGAACTCCATTTAGTGGTATTAAGTGGGTTTTCTATATTTATTTTCTTTTTTGAGAGAGAGAGAGGGATATCCAGTCATATGGAAAGGGTAAAGTGCACGGCATTACTTTACACCGTCCTCACAGTTAAGACAGGCTTTGCACCATATTAGATTTTTCCACATTGACCTAATTTCGGCATACATGCATGAGGATGACGAACAGCAAATTGAAATAATTCAAAACACCTGGGCCAAACTCATAAAGCAGAATTGGACAAGACCTGTGTCTAGAGAGTCTCCTGTGAAATCGCCAACATCCTTCAATGTCTTCAGAGCATCAATCCAAAATTGTGTGCATTCTTTACGCAGCATACACCAAAAAGCCTCTATCCGCTGATTGTGAGTACTTTTCCATATATGAAGCTATTCTGCTCCGACAAGAA